TCTACTTGATCAAGTATAAATCAGAAACCTTTGAAAGGTTCAAAGAGTTTAAACATGAAGTTGAGAATCAATTAGGCAAGAATATAAAGATGCTCCATTCTGAAGAGGATGAGAGTATCTTAGTATCGAGCTCCACGACTACCTCAAGGAATGTGGAATAGCTTCACAACTAACTCCTCCTAGAACACCACAACTTAATGGTGTGACTGAGAGATGCAATCGGACCTTGTTGGACATGGTTCGTTCCATGATGAGTCGAGCCACTCTTTCCATCTCTTTTTGGGGGTATGCCTTAGAGACAGCTGCCCATATCATGAACCTTGTCCCTATTAAGAAGGTTGCCAAAATACCTCATGCGATGTGGACAGGGAAAGTTCCCTCGTTAGCACATATCAATGTCTGGGGTCGTGAAGCTTTCAGTAGACGAGAAACTCATGACAAGTTAGAAGCCAGAAGTGACAAGTGTATTTTCATTAGCTACCCATAAAAGTCTTTTGGATATTTTTTTTCTACAGACCTAGTGAGAATGTGGTCTTTGTAGCACGAAGAGGATTCTTTCACGAGAGAGAGCTCATATGCAAAGAGGACAGTGGGAGCATAATTGACCTTGAAGAGATTCAAGAGTCAACGAATGAAGGAACCTTAGAAGATACTAGCACTCAAGTAGAAAAAGAAATTCCAGTTGAGGCAGTTGACAGTTCATTACCTCTTCGACGCTCTAGTGGAGTTAGCGTGCCGCCAATGTTCTATGGTTTCTATATAATGTCAGATGGTGATACGTTTATCAGTGATCAAACACCGGTAAGTTTGGATGAGCCAGCTAACTACAAGGAATCAATGGCAGCTGGAATCTTGGCTGAAGATGTCCACATGAGTCAGCCAGAGGGTTTTATTGATGCAAAGTTTCCCAATAGAGTGTGTAAGCTTGAGAAGTCCATCTATAGATTGAAGAAAGCATCTCACAGCTGGAATCTTTGCTTCCATGAGAAAGTCAAAGAGTTTGGTTTGTCTAGAAGTAAGGATGAGTCATGCGTATATGTCAAAACTAGTGGGAGTATAATAACATTTCTAGTATTGTACATTGATGACATACTACTTACAGGAAATGATGTTCCAATCTTGCAAGAAGTGAAATCTTAGCTTAGAAAGTGTTTCACTATGAAGTATCTAGGAGGCAACATATATTCTTGGGATAAGAATTTTGAGAAATAGAAAGAAAAGACTAATTGGACTTAGTCAAAGTACGTATTTGGACAAGATACTAAAACGGTTTAGTATGGAAAATTCCAAGAAATGAGAGCTACCTATTCAGAGCAATGCCAAATTGAGTAAGACACAAAGCCCCAGTAAGGATAAAGAGATAGCTGATATGGGTTGAGTCACTTATGCTTCAGCTGTAGGATTGATCATGTACACGATGACATGTATTCACCCTGATGTGTCTTTTGCTTTGAGTATGGTTAGTTGCTATCAGGAAAATCATGGCAGAGCTCATTAGACAGCAGTAAAGAACATTCTCAAGTATCTGCGACGGACAAAGGATATGATTTTAGTCGTTGGAGGTAGCGATACGTTGAGAGTGAATGGGTATAGTGACGCCAGCTTTCATACAGATAGAGACAACTTCCGTTCTTAGTCGGGTTGGGTATTTCTATTAAGTAGTGGAATAGTAACTTGGAAAAGTTCCAAGCAATATACGGTGGTTGATTCTACATGCGAATCAGAGTACATAGCGGAAAGTGAGGCATCGAAAGAAGCGGCTTGGTTGAGGAACTTCATCGGAGATATTAGAGTAGTGTCAACCATTCAGGAGCCAATGGAAATTTTCTGCGATGATGAAGGTGTGGTTGCTTTGATTAAAGAACCGAGAGACCATGTTCAGTCAACACATATCGAAAAAAAGTTCCATTATATAATACATATAGTAGAAGAAGGTCACCTCATTGTGAAGAGGGTATCATCAGAAGAGAATCTTGCAGATCGTTTGACGAAGGCTCTGAGTAAGGTCAAGCATAATCAACATGCTAGAAGCATTGGTTTAAAAGATGATATTAGTTTTAGTGGTTAGATGAGCAGTTTGAAACTTGTAACAAAATTAAATGTAATTGATTTTTTGGTGATTAAATAATAGAGATTATTTATGAGTTTGTTTACTGCCTTTGTTAATTGTATATTCTTGTGTTTCGTTTTGCATGTTTTACTTCCTGATTAATTTAATTATTCAAATTCCATAGTTGTTCATACTTTGGGAAGTAAGTAGTGAATTAAGATTGTCATCATATGGATTCTAGATTGTGTAAGGAGTTAGACATAGCAATTATATTGCTACAACATTCATGAGTACTTAGAAATTGAGATTTAAGTATTGGATAAACTCACGCTTAGAGAATTACTTCATGGATTATACTACGAGTAATTCTGAGACGATAATATCTTATATTCTTAAAACGAAGATATATGAGTTGTAATATACAAATCGGTTGTGCATTGGTGTTGCGAAAATTCATCAGTAACATGACGTTATAAAACGTAGTGTCATGCATGATTTGGTGAGTAAATGATACAATCATATAAGTCTAAGTTTATTCGTTCTTTTTTCCCTAACTGGAAAAGCGATATCTTTTGGCCCCTCAGTGATTTGGTCATGACTTATAGTGTTGGGCCCAGCCAGGACTATATTGATGTGTTCAATTAGAAGTCTTACATCGTTATCATAAATCAGAAATCGGGAAACAAAAACTTGGACAATGAGATTGATTCTAATCCGTGTCTCATGTTTATACGATATCTTGAAGAACGGAGGAATATTTGATCACTTATCTTAGGGCCAATGTGTGTTTAGTTCATAGTTCGACAGTTGCTATGGAAACACTCTTTGCTGTCTAATTTAGAAGTTATACTCGTAATTGCAGTTATAAACTTATCCAATTTGGAGACTGTTGGATTACATGTCTAAGCCAATAACTAATTTAGTATATACTTAAATTATTAGCAAAGTCCTTTTTGATTGCCCTCAAACCTAGTAATTGAAAATGATGACTTTGAGAGAGAGAGAGAGAGAGACTAATTTATTAATTTATTATCTGATTAATAAATTAATTAGAAATCAAATAAAATAATTTATTAATATATTATGTCAATAATATATTAATTAGAAATAGTATTATTTAATTATTAATTAATCAGAAATTTATTAGAATTAATTTTGGGATTAATTGAAAAATAATTAAAAGTAGATGGACTAAAGGTGACAATGTTCAAAAGTTGAACATTGAGCAATTCTAGAACCTCCCTAGGAGGGGGACGAAATTCTAGAATGCTTATAAGGATTTCTTGGGCATTAAGGAAGCCTAGGAATCCTTAGGGAGTAAGAAAAGGGGATAAGGCTTAGCTTAGGAAATTGTCTTATCCATAGGTTCCTTAATCACCTATAAAACCCCCCATCGGGTCATAATTTTGGCCATCTCCTTCTTCCAAGGCATAGCCGAAATTTCGTCACCCTCTCCTCTCTCTTTAAGTCTCCTAATTGCTACGGTTGGGTGTGAACCATCAGAGACACAAGATTTATGGTGCTAGCTTCCAAGCAATTACAAGAAGTTTTTTTTATTATCTACTAGTATAATCAAGAGGTATCTTTTTCTAAACCCTTTTTGTTATTTTCGAAAATACTAGGGTTCTTGTAGGGTTCTTGATGTTCAATTGGTTATTGCATTCAATGGTGAAAACATAGATCCTTTACGGTATATACAAACTTAGGGTTTATGTTTTTCCGCCAAAAATAGTTTTTTGTAACATATAAAACCCATCAGATGTTGCCTTCTCCGATTAACTGGAAACGTTCCAACATTCGCTATTTTAATTATTCCCAAGAACAGAACACAGAACAGGTTCTTTGCTTGACTCCAACTAAACGAAGCCAATGCCTTTCCGTCCAAGCAAATGGATGCAGCCTTCGGCCAATAGCCAATAACGTACTCCTATGTCTCGGATCTAAAAAAAAAACGTTCCATCTTGTAAATCCATCCAAACGTGTCTTCCGCTTCAAAAATAGGGGCCTTAAGCTTCCAAAAATCTCCCATTTTTCGGCCTCCTCCTTTGCTCTTATCATCTTTTGGTCCTTTTTTGAAATATCCAAACTCAAGCTCGAAATCAGCTTCATCTTTGTCATCCTCCTTATCGTCTTGACTGTTCTTCTCTTAGACAATTTTTGTCAAATTGTTGATGGCCTGTAATACCTATGCTAACTGTCCAGCATCTTGTTCCAACCCAGCAACACCGGCCTCTAGTCCTGCGATCTTCTCAGCATTGGTCTTTGACATGACGACACCAGAATCGAAGAGCTGTGATACCAATTATTAAGATCAAGACCCTTCCTGGGAAAAAGAATCTTAATTGTTCCACCTCTTTTTGATTCGAGAAACAGAGAATTCTCCAAAATTAGTCAATGACTTATTATTTATAATGTCCTGCTAACCTATTTAGATACCAAAACCGGATCCTGGAAAATAGGAATCCTAAACTGAAACTAAAACTAATATTCTAATTAAAGGAAAGATAAATAAAAGGAAACATTTAAAAATTCTCTCTTGAAACTTGATGCTTATCCCCTTCAACGATAGACTTGACCAAAACTCCCAACATGGTCGTAGCAAGGTATCAAATATTTAAGGTAAATCTATTTTTATAAATCCTATCCAACATTTCTCCTAGAATTGTAAATTAAAAAGATGTTAACCGTGCCAACCGTTACAAATATGATCTATTTTTTATTTTTGTATGTACTTTGCAAGAATGTCAGCATGTGAAAGGTTGACAAGACTTATAGTCAAATGTTTACATATTAAGATCTCAATCTTTTGTCAACTTTATAAATATAAGATGATAAGATGATGTATACTTTCGGATGCTTAATACCAACATGAGGATTTGAAGGGATGAAAGTATTGTTGTCAACCCGACCTAAAGACACTTTTCCAGAACCTCCCTCACCCTGGGGATTTCATCATAATCAAGGAAATCATTCTTACAAACACACAAACAAATAAATAGGATAACCTACAAAAACAAACCATTCTCAAAGTACAATGAATTCCTATATTTATTCTATATCAAAATGCAAAACAAAGGGGGAGGGGCAACATAAGAATGACCAAAATCAGGAAATTACGAATCAACCCATGCAGCTGAGGAGAGTCTCAAGGGCTTCAGAGAATAAGGGTCCTATTTCAGGGGTAGGAGATTTAATGGCACACTTGAGTCCCTGAACACCGATAACCACTGTAAGTTCGATCAAGAACGGGATTCCTTTTGTCATTTTAGCTGACAGATACAACAACTCTTGATTCCGGTTCTTATGTTTTGCAATGAAGAACATGTTGGAAGAAGCTAACTGCTCAATTGTCGCGTCTACATTGTTTATTGTAATTCCAGGAATCTCCTTTGAGACCTCATTGGAATCAGGCAACGACTTCCATGTCTGAAATATATATATATATAGATATATATATATAGATATATCTATATATATATATATATATATATATAATATATATATATATATATATAATATCTATATGGAATCATCATCAACCAAAAAGTAATGATAATAAAAGTTTCCATGGGTGAAGAAGTAATTTTACATTACCTCAAGGAAAGTAGATCGTTCCATTCTTCCATCTTCCATAAACAACACAAATAACGATAACCGATCACTAAAATACCACACAGGCTGTTGATTGTTCTTCACCGCGACATGCAAAATTGATTTTGGTGGGCCCAGTGCTATGTTCTGGAATAGAACCATAGGAAGAAGGGTTCTAGCCGATGTTCCTGGTTGAACTTGTGGGACCTGTTTGTAAATATAAGTTATTATACAATATACATTATGGAAAATCCAAACCTGGGGGTGTTGATTGTAAATATATACCTGGAGGGGTACACCTGCTGCGAGACCAAATGTGTTTTTGTGGAATTGAATCTTGAATCCATCGAGTGGGATGTTTGTGTTGTTTTCAAATATTAAACTGTAGAATATTTGACCGTCTTTTCGTACAAGTTGACCGCTTATTTCCAGACCTTGACCGGTTGCTGCTGGTAATACAACCGGTAGAGGTCGAGGCCTGCTTGGATATAAATTTTCTCTCAAACTGGTCTATGGAAAGGGAAGATTGAACAATTAACAAATATTTTTTGGTTTGAAAAATGCAAAAGAAGCCCATGAAAAGTTCCTAATCTTAAATTCGTATGACTTGTGATTAAATCATTAGCTAGAACTCGTGAACATGGATTACATCAGACACATATTTAATCAACCCAAAATTCAACAGACTACAAAAAGGAAAAAAGAATAACCGCATAAAGATAATGTACATCTCAAATATGAAACAAGAGATGAAACAGAAAGATAGGAATGTGCAAAAAAGAAGGAAAAAAGATCAGTTAGTACGAACAACAAAATTTACGAAAACAGTGATAACAAACTGAACCCTAATTCAAAAGCAAAAATCAGTAAAATTGAACAACCTAGAAGAGAATAAAAAAATAAAAAAAAATAAAAAAAAAAAAGATTGTTACAAAGCATGTCAACATCCACAAACTAGCAATCGATGAAAGTATTTTTCTGTCGATTTGATTTCCAAACAAGACTAGAGTCGAATGTTTTCCTACTAAAATCTGGATTTTTTTTATCTACATTATAAATCTAATAATTAAAATGATGCTTACCAGATTTGCAGCATGTCGTTGAAATCCTTCTTCTTTGTACTTCTTAATACCAACATCAGAATTTGAAGTGATTAAAGTATTATTATCAACCAGACCTAAAGACACCTTTCCAGAACCTCCCTCACCCAGGGCACCCCTTGGATATAAGTTTCCTGTAACATTGTCTTTCACATCACTTGATAGCTTTGAATCATCATGGGCTGAAATAGATGAACAAAACCATATTATATAGTAATTATTTTGAGTTGTCCACCACATACATTATATAAGATGAGTTATTGCAAAAGAGGAAAATGTAACCAAAAACACTAAGTGGAAGAATGGTCTCTAAAGCATTGCGCCTAGACATCTTCTCAAGCATGGTAAAGTAAACGAACAAAATGAATGTCACGTAAGCATCATACCAAGTGCAAACGAGCATTATCAGCCATCAACAAACTTACTAGCTCTGAGAGTGTACACAACATAAGCAAGTATATAAAGACTACTTTGGAGTAGGCATTTCAATGTCTCCCATTTAGGGTTGCCCTGTCACCTAGGTAGCATAGCCCATTTAACAACCTAAGTTATACCTACTTCTCCAGAAAAAATGAAACTAGGGACACATGGGTGCACAAAACAGTGTGAATTATCAAGAATCAGGCTTGACAGCAAAACTACTCCGATGTTTTTTTCAAAGTTGTGAAACTGCATTTCTATATTTTAAAGAATCTAAACACACAATTCAACAGAAGCTTGAAATACCAGAGTTCTCTCCATTGGAGGCGAATAGAAAGATGTCAAGCATTTTTCCAAATATTGTTCTGCCACCAGCCTGCAAGGAACTATTGATTTTTTCTTGTAAAGTCAATGCAGATTCAAGACTGAAAACAACCTCAGCCATGGTAGGGCGTTGCTTTGGATGGCTAAGCAAACATCTCCCTGCAATTTGAACAAACCCCTTCAAACACTTTGTAGATATTTGACCTCTTATATCTGAATCAACTATATCCTTTAACTTCCCCGCTTTGATAGAATCTTGAGCCCATGTTGCCAATCCCTCTTCAATACTTTTATCCACAGCACGCTTCCTGCACAATACTTCGAACAACACAACCCCAAAAGCATACACATCAGACTTCCTTGTGAGCCTTCCACTTGCGTAATAGTGAGGATCCAGATACCCAAAAGTTCCTTTAACAAGTGTGTTCACAGAAGTCGATGGCTGATTCGTTGGACCTATTTTCGACAACCCAAAATCTGAAATTTTAGCTGCCCAACTTTCATGTAACAAAATATTGGAGCTCTTGACATCACGATGTATGACCCCAACATCAATCCCTGTACCCGTGTGGAGATAATCCAACCCACGAGCTGCACTTATGCAGATTTTGAGTCGTTGAAGCCAAGAAAGAGGGGTACCAAGTTTATGGAGATGATCTTCAAGTGTTCCACTGGGCATATATTCATATACGAGGATCATTTCATTTTCATGATTACAATAACCAAATAAGGATACAAGGTGACAGTGGCGCAACTTTGAAAGCATCTCAACTTCTGCCCAGAACTCTGTTGCACCTTGACTGGACATAGAATCCAACCGTTTAATGGCAGCAACAGCAACACTTGATCCATTAATAATATTACCTTTGTAAACCTTTCCAAACCCTCCATGCCCAATTACTAATGATTCATCAAAGTTATTTGGTTGCTAAGAGAATCTCAGTAAACTGGAAGTGGAGGCATGCTTGAGTGAGTTGTACGGAGGAGGAGGTTGAGGGTTGATATTCCTTACCATTGCCGGTGGCAGCGATCATAATTATTGATGAAGAAGAAGTCGAAGTAGACGTCGAATTTGCAATAGTTGTTCCGCCATGGATGATATTGAAGGTTGACAGTCAACTGTAATGAGTGATGGAAGCCACGCACATTTGTTTCAAAACCATATTATATTATTTGAAAAGGAATCCTGCGAACTCGTCTTTTGACTTTGTGGGTTGGATCTAGAGTTCTGGACTGGTTATTCTCATCTGGATTTTGGACCGCTTTTTTTTTGTGTTATATTATATACAGGACAAATGTAATATTAGGAACTTTAGCATACTCCATTCGTTTACCCACGTAATGCGGCGAATGGTTTATTTCGGCAATTAGATCTAGGGATGTTCAAAACCGGATATCCGAAAATTTCA